GGGGGGGGGGGGGGGGGGGGTACAAAGGATTCCCCCCAACCACTCACCCTGTCATGTTACGAAATTGTAGTTATTTTCGGTCAGTGCCCTAAGTACCTTTTAGTCCAGTTTTCTTCGACTAGAACGTCGAAATTTTTTAAGGTGGGAGGAATGTAAGGAGAGATTTTCCATGAATTCTTTATTTGCCTCAAATTTCGTATATAGCTTTCAAATGTTCGTTTTGACGTTGTTTTCAGTAATTCATACTGAATTCGCATAAAGAGGTTTTCGCTTCGCAAAAAGGCTTGTGCCATTTTATTGTACTTGTTTGATTACTTAATGTTCGTTAATGCAATAATTCTAGAAAAAGCCAACAGTGTGTGCAGCTGTCAAAACTATTTTCCACTGACTCTTTTCAACTGGACACGTTTAACTTCAATTGTTGACTTTTAGAAAAAAATCATTAGTTTTCATAATAATGGCTATTTACTTTAGTTTATCTTTTAATTTAAGCTTTCTTTTTATTCTGCACGACATCCGTTATCATTAGCACCTTTTTACAGATGTGCCTCGCTTTAATTGCATTTTACCCATATGTATTTGCGAATATAACGTTCATTAGTCTGTTGGTTAAATAGTGGCAACAGCTGAGTTTGGGATGTGAAAGGTTTTGCTGACTTGCAAATTCGAAATATATTTGCTTTGCTTTAAAACTAGGAAACTTGTAATTAGTCTGCGTTTCTTCCTGTTTGCGCAGACGCTAGCTGGCCTTGCAATTTCATTCATATTGTAAAATATTGTACATAAATGCTGTTTTGCTGACCTAGCGGACGTAGCTAGCTTTTGTTCCAGTACTTTTACTTTTTAAAAATAGCAACACTAACAAACTATAACCACCTCTTTTATTTGATTTCACATCTATTTTACTCTTTTGTTTTCAATGGTTATTCAAATCATATATAAGTAAGTTGCTTTGAACTGGTTTTTCGATTACATTATGAGCTAAGTTACGCTACGTGTACAAGAATAAACGCTGTTGAAACCAAGTTCAGTTTGCCTTTGCTGTACCAGTTAGTAGTTTGATCCCGGACCTCAAGAGAAGTGACGGCTCTTTCCCGCAAGCGAGTTGCAATTGAGTCTAGTCATTCCCCCAGTTAACCGATAGTTAAAGTGCCGAGTTCCCGTTGAGTGTTCAAATCGTTTTAAAGTGGAAAAACCTTCCGTCACATTTTGTTTACGTCCTCCACAAAACGTGAAATTCATAGTCGTGCAACGATGGCGTAGAAATGTGCAAAAAATTGTGATGCACTTGCAAAGTTGTTGTTTTGCCAATCTAACCTATTGCTTTTTTGCCCTTTTTTGGCCAATAATATCCATACCTTGTCAAGGGATGAGGTTATGAGAATTAATCAAAATGATCACTAAAGAGAAAATGCTTTGATCTTCTATCAAATTCTCTCAACTACTTCTTTAAAGAGATGCATAGAGATCAGTTTGGAGAATTGGTATGTGGATATTGGGACTTAAGGGGTGAAGCAAAGGCGTTTTTGAGCGACGCACGTCAACCGGAAGTGGACTTTTTACAAATTTGGTAGCGTCGCCGGTTCGCGACTCGTTGTCGCCCCTTCGCTGCTCGCTCTCTCTTTCACGAAGAAAAATTTCAAGAAAAACCTTTGGGACCAGGGTACTGGGAACGAGGTTGAGCGGGAAATTTCCAGCTGACAAGACAGGCCCTTTCTCGCTTGGCAGCCAATCAGAACTCAGAATTCGCTTCACCTTGCTATCTCGCGGAACCAGCCATGTAGTATACAAATTATACGTTTTACAGCCGTGGAGGATTAAATTTGATCTGTAAATCTCTCTTAACATGTCCCTTTGTTTTAGCTCCATCTGCTAGATGTGGATTCACAAGTCCGTACAACAATTCTGAACTACTGTACGTATGTACAGTGGGTTCCACTCAGTGATGTGGTCGTGGCACAGAACAGAGGCAATTTGTGTGTTTGGTATAATATCGACTCACCTGAAAGAGTTACCATGTTTCCTATCAAGGTAGGCGGTGCAAAGTTAATTATATATCTTAGTCGATTCGGTTCACTGTTCAATATTTAAGATAATTTATGTGAAAGCTTTGAATATGTTTTTCTAGGGAGATATCGTTGATCTTGAAAGGGCGGATGGGAAGACAGAAGTTCTTGTGAATGAAGGCGTCACTACTATATCATACACTTTGGATGAAGGCTTGATTGAGTTTGGCACAGCTGTTGATGATGGTGACTTTCCAAGGTTGGTCGCTCCAGCAAGCTTTCCTTTTGAGGGGGTCGCGAGAAGTCATGCGAGAGCAGCACGCGAAAGGAGACGTGAGTGCGCGTTAGCTCGCGGCTCGCCTCGCTCGCCGTAAAAGGAGAGTTTGCTAACAGGCTACATATTTTAGGTCTCGCATTTCTATTCAAATTACACCCCTCCCTCTTTTTTTCCCATATGCTCATTGTTAACATCTTATGGAAAAGGTGCTGAGGTATCAATAGAATGAATCTTGAATAATTATGCCATGATTATCCAAGATTCAGCTATATCATTGCAAGCGACCAGAGGAGCCCGCAAGCCTAATCTCCTGGTCACAGTTACCCATGCGCGGCACGTATGTAGCCGTGTGGACTTACACTAAGAATGAATGGAATGTATAGAACGCTTTCTGATAACGCAAGTTTTGGTCTTCTATCTAGTGGCGCAGATTGGAGCAAGAGCGTTTTGACCTTCGATCTCGCCCGCACCCTTAAACCCTTTGGTTATTACTGGTTTATTTTTATGTTATGGGATGAACTTTGTAGGCTTTTAAGAGTCTTATAGATGAAGAAAGCAGACTGCTCTGAGACCTTCTGTTTTCTCTTTAGAGATCATTTAGTCCGCTTTCGAAAATGAAAACCCGGTGGGGATTTAGTGACGGCTAATGGATGGGCTTGATAAGGGTTTAGTTATTTTGTTGTGGTCAACTATTAATGGCTAATCACTTTTCAATTTAGGCGGATTAAATATTAGTTAACCCTTGCTGCCAGAAGACGGTTGATAAATCATCGTCTCTTTGCTCGCTATCTTGGCTCACCACCATGACTTTTTTTGATTGTAGATCAGAACCGTCTCGGCTTTGTTGCCCATAGCATAAGTTCAGCCACCCTTCCCCTGAATTTTTTTTTGCGGGGAGGGGCCGGCTGTTGCCCACAGTTCACGTAAAAATTAAGAAGACAACTTGAAGGCTGTGCCATTTTTGCTGACTTAAAAGGTACTGTGTCTTTTCAGGGCTGTTGCCTTCCTTGAAAGCTTAGAGATGTCATTAGAAACAGAGGCTATGTGGAAAACATTGAGTCGCCTCGCTCTGGAGGCGAGGCAGTTGCATATTGCTGAACGGTGTTTTGCTGCTCTGGGTGATGTTCCAAAAGCAAAGGCTTTACGTCAGATTAACAAAATCGCCGAGCAAACTGCTGAAGAAATGGTGAGCTCTGTTCATAATCAGCCTTTCTGTTCTTTAGCGAAACGTTTAACACTGTTTCTTTTCCTTTGGTGTCCAGAGTTAACCATTTGTTTTATTTCTAGGGAGGTGATGGTACAAACCACGTTCGAGTTCGAGCGAAGCTTGCAGTGCTAGATAAGAACTTTAAGCTGGCTGAGAGTATTCTTCTCGAGCAAGGCTATGTGGATGAAGCTATAGAAATGTATCAAGAACTGCATAAATGGGATGAAGCTATTGCTGTGGCTGATGCTAAGGTATAAGGGAAGGGAGAGTGGTGGATGCTTTGGGTATGTACAAGGGAAAGAGGGGCATTTCGCCTGTCTAAACAGGGGTGGGAGGCATTTTTACGAGATAACAAGTTATAGGGGTGAAAACAATGGATAACAAATTGGACGATGCTCTGTAGGGGATGTTCTGCATTAGATCGTACTGTGCATATATCTGGTGGGTGGGCATGGGGACATTTTTTCTATGCCAGATGTGTAGATTGAAAGGTATGAGAGTGGGGAGGGTTGAGAAGTAGAGAATGCTCTGCATTACGTTATAAGATGCTCATATGTGAGGGATGGGAAGGGGGAGATTTATGCTCCCCATGATGTTACAAGAGAGTGAGGCAAGACGACTTACTACGTTTTTTCCTTTTGACCTAAATACTCGAATACCTCGAACAGCATTGACCCAAACTACCATAGTAGATCCAAAAAGTAATACCTGTCTACTTGTCTTGTACATTAGCATGATCATTTCAGTATTTATATTTTTATTAATTTTTTTTTTATATCAGGGCCATCCTGAGCTGGAGAATCTACGGGCTGCACATTATCAGTGGCTCTCAGAGACAGCTCAAGAGGAGAAAGCAGGCGAGGTGAGTTGGCGGTTTTACTTCGGGCACTGCCTAGTAGCTGCATTTGAAGTCTTGTCGGTTTTGTATTGGTTTTCGACATTTCTCTTTCAGTGCCGGATCCAGACCTTGAGATTAGGGGTGGGCGGTCATCCAGACCCTGAGATAAGGGGGAGGGGGTAGTCTCCCAAAATTTTTTCTCGGCCCTACGGACCTCAGTTTGGTCTAAAAATAAGAGGAGGGGGCGGGCTCCCCTAGCCCCTCCCCCAGATCCGCCGCTGTCTTTGCTTGACTTTATTTTTTTTGACTCTTGTGTCCAGGTGAAGGAAAGAGAAGGGAACTCTACTGAAGCTGTAAATCTGTACCTGAAGGCTGGTCTGCCCGCTAAAGCTGCACGGCTTGCAATGAGTAGAGAGGTATGCCCTTATGTGGACCAGATATATTCTCACCCACCCCTATTTTCCTCAGACAGTGTATCGTTTTAGACATATTTGGCATCGTGCCCACGCTATATTGGGGATTTTGAAGCTTCGCGTGAGACTGGGTCGGATTTGTATCGAACTACAGTATTGGACTGTTTTGGACTCGATCTCGCGTCTTTTATCGGCTCTTGCGTGCTGGCGTAGAAAACTGGGTCAAAATTCGTCCCTTAAAACACACTGTCTCAAAATGGTCAATGATGAAAAGTGAATTACAAGTTTCTAAAACGATATGCTACGCATCCTTGAGACGAGAGATCTGAGAATAATTACGTTCCATTATTGATACCGATCTGTCTTCTGCAGTTTATGCTTCATAAAAAGATTTTCAATTTGGAAGGAAAACGTAAAGGAAACATATTTGTCTATGGAAAGAAAACGAATCCTTTTAAGTAATAGTATTGATGGGATAAATTCTCTTGAACGATACTTTCATGGTCACTGAAACAGTAAAGCTACCGTAAGGCCCCTCTGCAAGCAACAGAGTGTAGACAGGTTATTCTTGGTTTCAACCATGTGTCGAGGCAGTAATGTTGGTGGTTAAAAGAATTTACTTGAAAATGGAGTTTAGTTCCAGACATAGAAAAATGCTCTTGTTCTTGACCACCGACATGTTCGCCATAACGTCACATACAAACCAACAATTCCCTGCTCCAAAAACTTTCGGCGCAACGATTGCTGGGATGGTTTGGTTGGACAAGTGCTAGTTTTGATTGCTTGATGGTATTCAAGACAACCGTTAACCATTTATGAGTGATACTTGTCCACCAAACAATCTCAAAAATCGTTGCGCCGGAAGCTTGTAGTTTCTGGAATGGGGAATAAACTGCAATGCTTTCTTTACCGTGATAGGAGCTGATGAATTCATCGGAGTTACTTGAGAGAATCGCGGCTGCGCTTCTTAAGGGAGGACTGTACGAACAGGTGTGTGCCTTAGGCTCCTTATGGTCGAAATTTGGTTTAAGTCTTGTAAGTTGGTGTACTCGGTTCTCGCGTTTAACTGTTGCTTAACCGTTACTTCTTTGGGGCAGCTCTAGTGCTGGCTCGACAAGGGATTCGATTGCCACTTAAACACACGGTTGTTTCAATTTACTAACATTAATGGTATTCGTCCATTTAAGGCTGGAGAACTGTACGAGAAAGTTGGCAAAAATGACAGAGCTATGGAAGCATATCGCAAAGGCAATGCTTACAGGAGAGGTGAGGAATATTAAGCTGAGTGTATTGATATAAATTGAACCTTTCTCCCGCTCTCCAATAGCTGTTTGTCTCTTGTTCTGGGGTTAGGGGTGGAGGGTGGGACCAGATAGAACTTAATCATTAAACCAAGAAGATAGTGTTCCACTGTTTCAAAGTTCACAAAAGCACAATCTTCTCCGCCTCCATACTATCTTGCGCTAAAAGCTGTTTGGCCAAAAGAATGATTCCCTGGAGTATTGATTTATTACTTCAATTTACGTCATCTCTTCTTTCCTATTATGTAGCCGTGGAATTGTCTCGTGTGGCGTTTCCTCGAGAGGTGGTCAAACTCGAGGAAGCCTGGGGCGATTACTTGGTCTCGCAGAAACAGCTGGATGCTGCAATCAATCACTACATCGAGGCTGGGTGAGTAACATGTAATCGAGGTTATCTTCGTCGTTACTTACTGCCATACAGAAGAGGTTGAAGAACGAAGCTGAGTTCTCGTTTATACTTTCACTTTCAGTTGTTCAATCAAAGCTATCGAGGCAGCTATCCAAGCTCGGCAGTGGAACAAAGCAGTGCAGATTGTAGAGCTTCAGGATGATAATGTAGCAGAAAGGTCAGTCGGTTTGACGCATTTTACGGAAATCTGTGATCTGAGCTCCTCCGCCAAAAGGAAAAAAAAAGATCAGTTTAGGGTTGTGGGAAACTGCCCACCTACCCCTCCCGTAACCACACATTTTGCCCTAAGTGAGAAGTAAGTGTCAATGTAAGCTTAGGGGAGGGGTAGGTGGGCAGTTTCCCAGAAACCCAAATTGATCCGAAGCAAAAAGGCGCTATCGCGGGCTCTGATTTTTACGCACTGAACAGTTCAATATTGAAACCTCGAAAGATAAGCAACCACCACTTCTAACGTGATTAACTATAGCCTTCTGCGTTTTTTAACAGATGTAGCCTGCGTAGATATCCTTACCGTTAGACCCTCTTTGAATTTTCTCTCGTTGCGATATAGTGAAACTGTGAGATTAAAGTTTTGGGGCGATGATAGGTGACAGGAACTGTATCCCCTTTCGCGCCTTCTTGGTTTTCCCCTACCACAGAATTGTCTTTGCAAAACAGCATAAAACTATAACAGACAATACTTGCCCTTCTTCAAAGGGCTGAACTGCATGGTACGCATTTTGAGCAATTGTTACTTCTCTTGACGAACTCTTAAGGCTGTAAACAACATTTTTGTGTCTGAGTTCTCTTTCCTTACTTTTTTCAGATATTATCACCATATTGCTCAGCACTACTCCCAAGTTCAAGAGTATAAGGTATTTGTTACTACGATTTCAGCTGATGTTTTTTTTTTTTCGGTGACTCACTTTTCTCAATGAAATGGTTTCTTTTCTGGTCCTTAGCTTGCTGAGAAGTACTTTGTCAAGGGAGGGGACCCACGGGCTGCCATTGAGATGTACACTAAAGCCAACATGTACGAAGCAGCTCACAAGGTACCTATCAGTGAACGTATTCTCATTCTTTATTATTATTTTTAAATCAATGGTAGAAAATAAGCTTATTTTGTCTGTTTTCATCCATTTCTTTGTGAAGCTTGCTGTACAGTGCATGACACAAGAGGAGGTTGCTGTCATCTACATATCACAGGCTCAGGAGTTAGAGGCACAAGGCAAATACAAAGAGGCAGAGAGGTGGTTTACATTACTGAGTATTCCTGATTGCCGTCCCTCCCTCCCCATCCTCCCTCGGTTGCTCCACCCAACCACCATCCCTCCCTCCCTCCCTTCGTCTGACGAGATTCTTTACCCGTGAGAAGTGAAAAGTAACCTCTAAATTGTAACCTACTGAAACAGGACAAATTACCGTGACCTTCAATGACATGAGATCCGGAATGTTCATTATAACGTTAAATTTTCATAGTCTGAATCCTTTTGATCATAACTGGCTTGTAAACCTGCCGACCTCACAGACAAAGTTCATGAGCCTTACCTTTGAAAGCTGATGAACGGTCTACCATCAAACGAAACTTCTGTTTTCTTAGACTGAGAGTCAGTACCTTAAACGGTCGCCTTGGGAAATGCTCTTCAGAATTCAGGTGTTACTACATTGTAAAAGGCATACTGGGTTAGCTACTAACCGTGCCAGTTGGCCATTTCTGAGGTCGAGCGCGAGACTGGGTTGATGTTGTGTCGAATTGCATTATGCAGGGTTCGCACAGTCTTGAAAAGTCCTTGAATTTTAGGGGAAGTCCTTGAAAAGTCCTTGAATTCCATTTTTCCTTGAAAAGTCCTTAAATTTCTGTGCAAGTCCTTGAAAAGAGCTTGAATTTTCTTCAACTTTGAATGTAGTAGCCTGGAAAGAATTTTTTGATGCATTTTGGTTGTCCAAGACAGAATATAAATCGTATCTCAGTGAATGTAAAGGTCATTTACATAAAGTGCTCCATGTTTTATGCAATAATTAACTATCAGTTTAAGACAAGTGAACTGAAAAATGTAGAGAATTTGGTGAAGCAAACAGTTAAAGCCTTAAAGTCTTATTAGAATATACTGGGAATATGCATTTTTGTACAATCTGTGAAATTATATTCCTAGTAGGTTGTCCTTGAAAATCTAATGTGGTCCTTGAAAAGTCCTTGAAAA